GCTGGTCGCGATCGCGGGGTGAGTCCTGTCTCCTGGGTGCCTCAGCTGGGACCCCCGTGCGTACTGCGAGCTGGGTTTCCCAGCTGCGGGCAAACAAGTTTGTGTAGACGCGGCTGGGAGCGCGGCAAGGCTGCACCTGCTCGGGCTTCGGGGTGGCGTGGTGGGGGCGCCCTCCCGGGGCTGGGCCGCTCGGCCGGGGAAGGGAAGTGTGAGAGTGTGCGTGTCAGGGGAGCGCTTCGCAACAATCGGGCCGGGCGGGGGGGATGTGCCCAAGGCAGTTGCACGATCCTGGTTCCCCCACCGGCAGTCCCAGCGACAGTCTCCTTCGCTGGAGGGCGCTGCGGTAGGAGCCCCAAAGGGGCTAGGGGGCCAGGGCAGGATTTGGGGTGAGCACTGCCCCCTCCTAGGAGGAGACGTTCACCATTAGCAGCTCCTTCTCGTTCCGCTACCAAGCCAGGCTTCCGGTCAGCGGTCAACGGAGGGTTTCTCCCATCTCTTGGTGAACTTGGACAGAGGCGGAGGCAAAATCGAAACGTATTATGTTCGGAAAACTACCCGATATAGAGCTTTGCATCTTCTCAGGTGTGTACAGATTCAAGACTGGGTGTTGCTCATGAGTTTTCCTTTGATCCTCAGAAGCGTCCCCGGCAGGGTCTCCTGCCTCAGAGTAGCCTCGCTGACTGCTTTCCCTAGCATCTGTGCCTCCATCACACCCGATCGGTGCTGGCTCTCCCGTGGGTACTGGGGACCTCTGCCCCTTCTACGTTTGGAGTTGCTGAGGAGGCTCCAGCACTACAACCCTTCCCTGGGATCCAGCCCCCTGGCCACTGCTCAGGGATAGACAGACTCCCTCGGTACTGTGCTGTACCTGCGTAGCTTCAGACACCGTCTCATCCCTCCTGTTGTTGGGGCACTTGCTTGGGTTGTGGGAGACACTTGCACTGCCCGGTGTTTGCACCAGTGGTTGAGATCAGAAGTGAGGACCTTTTCTTTGAATTACTAGGTTATCAGGCACAAGGTTGGTGGGGAGTGAAAGAATTAGAGGAGGCCTCACCTAGTTGGCCCTGTTCTGTTTGCAGTACCTCCCTTGCTGAATTGCTCTAAGTGCCGGAGAGAGGGCAGGGGGTGATTTTCTTGTTGGTAGAAACAGGTTTATTTCTCCCAAACATGCCCCCCAACACGCACACATGGCCCTGTGAAGTCCCCTAGAGAAGGAGCTTCAGGGGAAGCTGTCAGAGCCCAGAATTTCTAGGAGGAAGAGCAGGGCCTGTCCCAGGGACCCATTGGCTGAAGGCAGATTGCCCAGAGGCTAGGTGGGTGAGCAGCCTGACTACCTGATTTTCCCATGGGAAACTGGCAGTCCTAACCTACAGCTTCATCTTCTAGGCCTCAGCAGCTTTGTTCTCACAGGTCCTCTGGAAGAGATGAGCATTCCCTCTTTTCAGTGGGCACTGAGGACCTTGCAGCACATGTGGTCAGAAGTGAAGAGAAGCTTGGATTAAGCAGAAGGCCAGACTCCTGTCCCTTCCTCCTGTTGGCTCACCGGGCAGAAGGGGCTAATCTGAGTCACTGGTTGGCCTGCTGCTGAGCCTATTCAGCCCAAGCACTGCAGACCAAGTCAGTGAGTCACAGAGCTGGTTCCTTATAGAGTCAGCGCGAACGAGTAGCTCAGAGCCTAAGAACCCAGAATCTCAAGGCCCAGATCAAATCATATCTAAGCATGGTATTTCTCATTGTAGACACTCCCAGCTGGCATTCCTACCCGGCTCATACTCTGGTCAGTCTTGGTAAGATGAGCTGCCTGATCCTCCCTGTGGAACTTCAGGAGGTCAAGGCCAAGTACTTCAGGATCTGGGGGAGCTCAGTGTTTAGACCTTCAGGGTCTTTACCCAGGAGAGTGATAATGATATACACCAGCAGGGACAGAACTGAGTCCCAACGTCTGCGGTCAGGCTGGGCTGGAACCTGCCCTCCTCTTCTGGGGAACGAGTAGGTGAACAAGCCCTTCAACCCTCATTTTCCCTGTGCCTCATGGTCCTGCTTCCCACTGTATGCTGTAATGTCTCCTTGCTTTTCTTAGCACCATGTTGACTTGTGGCCTGAAAAACTATCACAAGTGTGCCAGTTTGGGGGAATGTGGTTGGGGAGGACCCCTATCTATGCACCCCCTGCCTCCCAGTGTAGACTTGAGAAGTGGATGAAGAATGGACTGAATTAATTTTGTAAGTTACAAAGGCCTTTGCCCTCAGCTTCTCTCCCCACACTGCTGGAAACCCCCAGAGATGTTAGACCCCTCCCAGAGGGTGGCTGCCCTCACAATGGGACCATGAGGGTTCTGAGGAAAGAAATACCACTGGGGTATCTTGGTCCCCTTCCCTTAGCTTGTGCCCCCATCCTAGTAGCAGAGATGGGGCCAGAGAAGGACTGGGCTGACTTTGGCAGGGTACTCCAACTCCATTTTACTAGCTCAGACCTCTCCACATTCCTCAGTGGAGTTCGAACACCTCATCTCTGGTCACACTCTGAGCTGGGCCCCTGATAGCTTTCAGGAATTCTCCACCTGGTAGAAGAAACACAGGAACAAAGGAACAAATTAGGGTTAGGGAGCCCAACCCTAAAGTGGTAGCTCAGAGAAAGCCCAGAAGAGTTTGTGATTGGCTGTGTAAAGAGTGGAATAGGCTCCCAATCAATCAAAATGTAAAATGATAGTCCCCACATGGAGCCCTGTCTGCCTTTGAGGCCCCAGCCCCCAGCACGGTGCTTGGAAGGATCCCCATCTGAGACTGCGAAAATGAAGGCCACGTGAGACGGCAGATGATACCCCAACCTTGAAATCAGAAAACTTGAGTTCAGACTAGCAGTAGTTGTTTGCCTTTGTTCAAGTTAATTGGTCCTCTCTCTGGCTCACATTCTCTATCTATATAATGGGGATAATGATTCATAATATAATAACTTCCTAAGTTTGAGGGAAGATCACTCATTCATTTGTTCATCTGCTCATTCAGCCAACACACTTAATAGTATGTGAAAGTACTCTGTATTCTCAAATGTGGCATGTAAAATTTATTTTTATATGAACTTCAGCAATAGGTTTACTGTATGATTTTTTTCCCATTTGTAGCAAATGGGGTTTTAATCTTTCTAATTTTTGTATTTTTTTTATTATTTGTGATTGACAAATCATGGTTGTATACATAAATGGAGTATGGTGTGATGTTTGAGATAGGTATCCACTGTGGAACGATTGACACTAGTTAACTAATATCTTTTCTATCTTTCGCACAACGTATTTTGAATCTTTTCTCTTAAGTCTTGAAGTTCCAATGATAGAGATCTGCCTCTTCAAAGGCAGGGACCGCACCCCATTCCCGTTCCCCAGACCATGTACCTGCCAAGAGCAGCAGGTTTATTTAGTGGGTTTCTCAGCCTTCAGAGCCTAGATGCATGGGATCCTCGAGTAAGTTCGGTGGTCTCAGAGGCAGCAGAGGCGCTGACTGGCCCTTTGAGGGGCTTGCATGCTGGGAGGGGACTTAGAGGTATCAGCAGGCAGACTCAAGGCAGAATACAAAACCCAGGCACAGGTCATCATCATGGTGGCATCTAGCTTCACTGTCAGCTCTGAATGCCCTGTACCAGGCATCAGGGAAACATCAGAGAAGTAGCCTTGAGGCTCAGTTTTGATGGATTTGAAGCACTTGAATGGTGAGATGGGGGTACAGGCATCCCTCACTGGCGGAAGGCGTGCATGAGCTGGATGGGGTGGCAAGAGGGTTAGCATCTCAAGCTGGCCAGGGATACTGGTTAGCACACAGTCCCTGAGCCTGAGTAGGGGCAGAGGCAGAGGTCAGAAAGGGAAAAGGCCAGAAAGAGGTCCCTGAGCCCAGCTGAAGTTTCCCCTGTGTGCCTTTGCCATGGTCCTGTTTGTGGTCATTGAGGCTGGGCTCTGAGCTGCTCTGATATGGATGTCTGTATGCAAAGCAACCTGCAGGGCCCCATTCCTGCCCAGTTCAGAGTGCACAGCTCTGAGTCCTGAGGTGTTCACAGCCTCTGCCACAGTGGCCAAGTTGGCCCTGTTCTCGCTAGGAGCCCTTCTTCTCTCCACTACTTCTGCCTGTTGTTTCTGACAAGGCAGCAGGAAAGGAGGTGGAATTAGAGGCCCTTGGTCACCTAGGTGGGCTCCAGGAACTGCCTCTTCTCCTCTTCCTGCGGCCACCTCTCAGTCTACATCCCTAGCTTGGCTGAGAGACAGGTGCCATCTGCTCCCTTCTTCCTGGGGCTCAGGTTTGCTGAGTCCCACCTGCTGTGGGTGCCTGTTCCCTCCCTGACACTCACAGAATCCCCTCTCTTTGATTATTCTCCTCTCATAACTGAGACCGGCCCCCTCCTCAGGTCTTGCTTTGCTCTACAATAACTGCAAGACCTCTGGAAGGCAATGAGCAGGGTGGTGGATGGGCACTTTTATCCAGCTCACATGGCCCAGTTCAACAGCCCTAAGCTCAGGAGAGGTACAGTGGGCCCACCAGCCTCTCCCCAGGGCACCTTACAGGGCTCTGCAGGCACCTTCCAGGTACACCTGGAAAGCTCACCTAAAGGAAGAACATGGAGACTTCCAGAAGAGGGGAGGGACTCTGAGGCTGCTCCCCAATGGCCCCCGGAGGCCGGGACACTAACCCACATGGCAGCAGCGTCTGGAAGGTTTGGCTCGGCAGACACCATGTGTAGCATCATCTCCGGGAGCCTGGCATGAGTTCAAAGAGCTGCTGAAAGCAGCACACAAAACTCCTTTTAAGAATAAATCTTGCCTCATGCAAAGCTGGAGTTGAGGCGGGGAGAGATACAGGAAGTTTAGTGGGCACAAGAGGGGCTTTGGGAGCAGACGGCTCGGGTCAGACTACTGACCCCGATAGTCTAATCTTGGGTACTGAGTGTCGCTTTGCTGAGGTTAGGACAGACTTCAGCTCTGAAGCATGGGGAAGCAGGGCCTCTGCCTTGGTCACTATTTGGAGTAAAGTAGATGATGCGAGCGAAGTGTGAAGCCCATCTAACCTGTTTATTAATACCACAAAGCTTAATAAGTGGTGGTACTGACTAAAACAGGAGTTGCTAATAACAGTCTTACCATAGGCATGAGCTTCAAGCAAGAGCGGAGTACGGAGTCCATCCCAGGGTTTGGGGGAATCAGAGGAAGGGCAGAGGGCCACTGATACTGATTTCACCAGTAACACTGCTACCACAGGCCTGTCCTCCAGTTGGTACTTACTCAGCTATTTTGCATTTATATCCAGTACATGCCACAGTAGGTAATAGAAGTGTCACATCCACTCCCCAGTTTCATCCCACAATATTGCCTGCTAGTATCTATTTAACAGATGAGAAGCCTGAGGCTCTGCACCGGACAGTAATTTGTCTGAGCTAGATTGCTCTAATGGGTGGCCTGCTAGCTTTGGGGGTAGTGGGCACTGCCCATGACCTACTAGACATGTACTGGCTAGGTGCTTGTCAGCAGGTTCTGCTGTCTGTCTCACCTCGTGGCTTGGCTATGAGCCCTTGTGCACGTGACCCAAGTCTCACCACTGCCCAGGGCTTCTTTGTTCAGCCAATCAACAAACACTTCCGCTCTCTGCCCTGCTAGCTGTGTATTGAGACCCAGGGATATGGAGATAAACCAGGTGTGACCCATGCCCTGGAAGGGCTGTAATGTCAGCCTCATGGAGTAGTGACCATGGCAGAGAATGGAGGACAATTGGCAAATAGAAATTTGGTGGTAAGGTGCTGTGGAAGTCCAGGGCAAGGGGACAAGTTCCTGATGCTTTGAGCATGTAGTTCCCCAGCCCACCTTGGCTCCATGGCTAGTGTTGTGGCATGGGGACAGCTTGCCTTCTGAAAAGTTGGAGATGACAGTCTGCCTCATAGGAGATCTGGGCCATGGAACTCTGTGCTGCAAGTGGTATTTGCCTCAATACCTGGTAACCACCTTACCAGACCAGGGGAGATCCTTTTGGAAGGGGCAACACCAAGGAGAACTTGGGGAGGCACCTGAGGAACTTGGGTGAGACTGACTCCTGAAGGATTAGCCTTGACAATTCCCCACTCTACTTCGCGTTGGTCCCACTTGTATCAGGTTTCCAAGTCTGAGTTATAGGCTGTATGTGAACAGTACACCATGCCTTGCCTTTAAAATTGTGAATTGTGGGGTCATTGCCTACCCTTCTGCTGCATCTCAGCAGAAACTTTCTTTCCCAGAAGGAATGCCACCTCTCACCTCTCGTTTTAGTTTTCTAGGATTTTCCATTCATAGAACCCCAACATCCTTTAACTAGAATCCTTTTGCAGATATATCTGGAAACCCCGCCTCACGGAATTACTGGGCGGAACAGATACAGCATAAAGCCCACACAATGTACCTTTGTCTGAAAGACGCCAACTGTGGAGCTGTGTCCTTTGACGGTTATTCATTCTCCCCTCTTCCCCATGGCTTAGGCTTCACCCCAGCTCTGGATGAGTGGCATTTGAGATCTGACCCCACAGGTACAGGTTTCTGATTATCAGGACCTGTTTGTTTATTTTTCTGTGCTCTCATTAATTTGAAAAACTATCTTCACAAAGATCACTGGGGAGCAACATTGTGCCATGCCTCAGGTGCTGGGGGGCAGAGCAACAAACATGAATAGGGGATGGCTTCTCCCCTTGAAGTGTTCAGAGTCTTCTGAAGATGCTTGAGGAGATGGGCAATGCTAATCATCGCGCCATGGTGTGTGCTAGGATAGGGGCCTGCACGTGCTGTGGGAAGACCAAGGAGTCTATGCCTATGGATGGGTGGTAGTCATGGGTTCTCCTCCGGGGAGCATATTAAAAGAACTGACTCCTGGGCTGAGCCTTAGGGTTGCACAGGAATTGGCCAGGAGAAAGGAGGAAGAGAGATAAAGGCAGCAGGTGCTGTGGCTATAGGTGCCTAGGCTGGGACATGGTGGTGGAGGTGCAGCAGAAAGGGCCTGGCAAGAGCTCAGGGTGGACAGGTCAGATCACAAAAAGGGGCCCTGTACATCAAGCTAAGGAGCTTGGAGTTTATCCCAAAAGCTCCAGGGCCCTATTGAAAGGGGTTTTAAGCAGGGGAGCGCCATGAGCAGATTTGCGTGTTAGGAGGATCACCCTTGCAGCCTTGTGGAAGATGGATTGGCAGGGCCAAAGCTGGAGGCAGAGAGATCAGTCAGGATTTCGTAGGATTTTCTCCATGGTTTTACAAATCTGAGGCTCTCTGTGGGTGGGCCAGGTAGATACACAGCATAGAGAGAAAAGAAAGGCCCTGAGACCCTTCTTAAGTGGCAAACTGCCTCCATTTCATTCTACCATCATTTGCTGATTACCAGGGTGGACCAGGCCAGCCTGTTTCCATGTTCTGCCCTCCCTGGAGCCTTGGAACCTGGACGCCCTCAGTGCTTACTCAGAAAGGGTCGTGCTGGTCCAGGCTGCTTCTCTGGGGGTCTAGGATGCCAGCCTCAGAGCCCAAGCATTGTGATTCTTCTCCAACTGTCTATCTGTCCTCAGCAAGCACACAGAGCAACCATTGAGTGCCTGTGGGGGCCTGGCAAGGGTCCCAGGCCATGTTAGTTACGGGCAGTGGCTTAGTCACGCTTCTGGGCTCTTTCTTCTTGGACAAGCATGGCCTTTGTGTTGAGGACCTTGCTCACACGGCAGCCCAGCTCGAGGCAGCTGCAGGGCCCTCTGCCAACCCTAACAGCACACTTCAGAGGCTCCGCTAGTGGGAACCAGAGCCCGGCATGAGCCCTGCATCCTGAGGAGCAAGGGACCTCAGGAATGGGGGTGCTGCTCAGAAAACCTGCAGCAGGTGTCCCAGCCTCTGCACTGTGCTCGTCCTTTGGCTCTGACAGGAAACTCCTGAATCCCTATTCTTTCCCTTGGACTCCTTTTCTGTGAGAGCCAGCTACCAGCCTCTGCATAATCTCCTTCCAGGACACCGTTTGCTACCCCAGTGCACACCTGGGAGTTAGCTCATTGCATGCATATATCTAACACCTGCTGTATACACTGCCTAGCCTATGTGCATTTACATGTGCAGATGTCTCGTCACAGGCTGGCTTTTTCATGAGGACAGGATCTGAATAGAGACTGTTCAAGAAAGAAAAACACCTGCTGTATACACTGCCTAGCCTATGTGCATTTACATGTGCAGGTGTCTCGTCACAGGCTGGCTTTTTCATGAGGACAGGATCTGAATAGAGACTGTTCAAGAAAGAACTTGGCTTTTTCATTCACCAACTATGTGACTGGGAAAACTACTTTACCTCAGTTTGCTAATTTCCACATCTGCAAATTGGGGCTATTACAGCATCTGCTTCATTGGATTGGTTAAATGAGATAATGTGTAACACTTTTAGCTGAGTACTTAGGAAGCAGTAAGGAGCTGTCCTTGCTTTTTCTTCTCCTGCTTGTTGCTGTTGCTATTATCACAGGACTTTCAGCACTACGCTAGAGCAGGGCATGATCCCCATTTTATAGATGAGGAAGCTGAGACCTAGAGAGGTAAAGCAGTTTGTCACAAAGCTGACCAGTGGCAGAGCTGGGATCTGAACCTGGTCTTGTGTCCAGGGCTCCGCAACAAGGCTGGTGCCTTTGATGATTCAATCATGGGGCCGTGGAGCGGGCAGACTCTTCTCTTACATCTATCTATGTGTTCTTTCTCCATTTTTCCAGGTTTCCAGACAGGAGAAGACAATTGGTAGAGGTCAGGGATGGGAGAGATGGTGACATCTGGACAGAAGCTGCAGCTGCAGGGCCCTGTGGCTGCTGGTGACAAGTGATGGTGCCCTCTGAACACCCGCAGGACATGTTGTAGTAACAGGAGCCCAGGAGAGCCCAGGCAGGTGCCAAGGAGCCAAGATGCAAGGATGACACCCCTGGAGGCCCCGGCCTCCCTCCTTCCTGGGTGCAGGTGCTAGGAGCCATCCCCGGGCTCCGGCCGGGAGCTCTGCCGCCCAGGGGCATGGCCAAACCTTTCTTCCGGCTCCAGAAGTTTCTCCGCAGAACTCAGTTTCTGCTGCTCTTTCTCACGGCTGCCTATTTGATGACCGGCACCTTGCTGCTACTGCAGCGGGCCCGAATGGCCCTCCCCCAGGGCCCCCGGGCACCTGGCACGCTGCAGGCTTTGCCTGTGGCCACCGTGGCACTGGGCATGGGCCTGCTGGATAGCAGAGCTCTCCAGGACTCCCGGGTCAGCCCAGGCCTGCTGTTCGATGTGGACGTGTTACAGAGCCCTCTGGCCCGGCTCCCACCCGGACTCCGCTGGCCACGGAGGAACCGCAGCTCAGTTCGGCGCCGCTGGTTCCACCACTTTGTGAGTGATCCACACAGGTCACCCACCCTGGGTCCTGAGGCCCCAAGGCCAGCCATACACAGCCGAGGTAGGTGCTCAGTAGTGTCTCTGGACCCAGAATCACTGCCCGGGTTCAAGAATTGGTGTCCCTTTTGTCTGGCTCTGTGACAGCTGGAAAAGTATGCCCTGCAGGCTGATGGCCTTGACAAATTGTTCCTTCTGCTCTGTGGGGCCTGGGATGTAAGGTGCCCTAGATTTTTCTCACTTCCTGTCTGGAATTCCACAAAGCTCCAAGCTGAGCTGGGAGAGCCAGTCAGTCACCTCGAACTCCTGCTTTGGGTTCAGACGGACCTCGTTTTGAATCCTGGCTCAGCCATAACTTTGCTGGGTGACCTTGGGTGTCTCACTTGATTCCACCAGGCTGTTCTGAAATGGAGATGGAGACACACAGCCCGAGGTTATTCTGAGGATTAAATGTAATAGCGTAGAGCAGTGGTTACCTCCAGTGACTTAAAGTGGTGATAGAAGGGATTCCAGGAAAAGCTGGAGAGACTGCGGTTAGTAGTAAGCAGGATGATACTGAGCTGCTATCCAACAGCATGGCACAATCTTATCAGAGCAGCTAGGACTCTTGCACACCTGTTGATAGTTCCTGCTCTTAGCCTCTGGGGTGTCTCCTGTACTCTGACTGCCTCTCCATGACCCAGGAAGGGCCCCCCAGGGTCAGTGCTGAATGGTGGCGTTTCCAAATGTTCCCTGCCCTCCATGGGTTGTTAAATATTTTAAACATTCCCCAGGATTTAGGGAAGAATTTGCTTTCCCCACAGTATATGAAAAAGCCTGTCTGGGGAATGCTCTGTTGTTATGTGGCTGGAGGTCTTCAGAGAGAGCAGGGAAGGGCAGGATGCTGGCCTAAGAGCCCCCCCCCAGGGGGGGCCCTGGGATGTGGGGGTCCTGTGCAGCAGGGCAGGCCTCACTGGTGGAGAACGGCCCAGAATTCAGCCCTCAGTATAGCTGCTGGGGGCTACAGACAAAGCAAGTGTCTCTCTGTGGCCTGGGCAGCCGGCCACACTCCTGAAAGGGGATCCTGCAAGCCGTGGAAGCTGCAGGAGGCTCCATCAATCATGGCGCATTTCATTATACCTTGGACAACATCCATAATGGAATAAAATGTCAGTAAGTTTACTAGGGGAAAAATAGTAACTTCTCCATAGCCAGTTTGTTTTTTATTGATAGTAATTTCCAGAGACATTCCAATATCTCCAAAGCCATCGTTAATGGCTCACGGCTTGTCCATTTTGATGTGCAAATGAACAGATGTAGAGTCACACGCAATAATGCATTGCCTCCGTTTCAGCCGAAAGTAATAAATCCGCCTCGGGATGTGTCCCAGCGTATCCCTGGAAAGTTCTTTCTTCTTTGCACATTCTTGCCTCTGTCAGGAAGTTAGAAAAGCCATTTGTTATGTTTCAGGGTAAAAGGGCTCACCTGCTGCTCACAAACCAGAGGGACCATCCGCATCTCAGGCCTGGACACACAGGAGAAGCAGTGGGTGGGGGCTTCCTCTCCACCCTGGTCAGGCCCGTAACCGGCCAGTCAGCAACTCTGGGCCACCCCTGAGTTCACGAGAACCCAAGCCTGCCTGCCTGTCAGAAGCTGCTTTTTCTCTCCTTTATTGATGTGCTAATTATTCAACTTATGTTTACCAATTTCTCATCACACTAGGTCTTGGGTTAGAATGTAGGATCAGAATAATAATAGTTGTTTAGCATAGATGTACATCTGTCATTTCATTTAATTTCTTCTTCACAAAGCCTTCTGGTGTAAGTGATGTAAAAGTGAAGTAAAAGTCATTGAGAATTTTTCATCATAACTAGTGATCTATGAATAATAGCTGAGCACTTCCTATACTGAGGCTGGTGTTAGACACTTGAATATATGTTATCTTATGGAATTTTCACAATCCATGGCATTGGCACCATGTTCCCATTTCACAGATGGGGACACTGAGAGTCAGAGAGGGCAAGCTGTACATCCCAGGTTACATAGGTAGGTGGTGATGGAGCCATGATCTGAACCCAAGTCAGTCTATTCCCACAGGCTGTTTCCATTCACTTGCCCAGAAATATGTCTACTCTTGCCTCAGCCTTGGAAATTTTTGAGCTAAAGCACTTTTAGAACCTTGTGGTTAACTTCCCCAACTACAGTGATAAATGTTTTGAGTGTTTAACCGAAAGCAATAATGGACTTTCTTCTTTGCTGAGCAACACATCAGAAAATTCTCCTATAGTAGTTTTCTTTTACTAAATAAGCAGGCAGAGGAAAAGAAAGCATGCCCACCGCCCTGGGTGAGGTTTCTGCTGTGATGTGTGTTGTGTGCCGTGGTCCTGAGGCTTACAGGAGTGGGAAGCTTGCAGGGCCCCGGGGTCAGGAAGCAGCCTCAGGTAAGGGAAGTAACAGGTGCTTGCGGACTGTATGCAGGCCATGGATGCTGATCAGCATCCCTCTGTGAAGTTGACCCCAGGAGGCTTATCGCTCAGAAAGGGTCCAGATCTTTGGCAGACATAAATGAAAGTGGATGTTTGCTCATTCCTCATCCCTGGTGTCCCCTGATCTGAGGGTCTTGGGGCCTTTTGGATCCAGCAGCCATTGTTATTCTCCCCACTGTGCTTCTTTTAAAGTAGAGCCTCAGGAACTATACTCAGTACAGTCAGCAGGTCCATCCCTGCCCTGAGTTTGGCTCTCTTGAGCCCACCCTTGCACCCACAGGACATCAGAGTATGGTTCTTAGGAGCTGTAACCTGCTGGCCAGTTAGGCATTGACACTGACATTGTGCCTAACCTGATGCGTGACTGAGGGGTCACCAGCTAGGGTGAAGGCAGGCCTAACCCCTGCCCTCCAGGAGGCTCCAGTCATGTTGCAGAGACAAGATGCATGGATTTAGAAGATTTTTAATAGCAACAGTTAATGGCAAGGATGTGGCAGATAGGTGAATTTTCAGGCAAAACATACAAGAATCTGGGAAAAAGAGAGGCTGGAGTGGTTGGAGTCAAGGATCTCAGCCTTCAGGGCAGATAGGAAGCACTGAGTGGACTTGAAGGAGCAGGGAAGGATCCAAAGGTGGGGTGGGACAAATAAGCCTGAGTAAGGGGAGGTGTAGATGTTGGCATTTATGAAGACACTTAGGACGCTTGACGTGATATAGCAAGTGATACAGAGGAGAAATGCAGTGTTGCAGGGCTCACAGACAGGAAAACCACTACCCGCTGAGGGCCCCAGAGAGAAAGACAGTGGACCTGCTCCTCTGTGCCCCTCAGCGTGTGGCCCTGGGCTTCTGCTTTGGGCCACCTTCTTGGCAGGAATAAAAATGAGTTTTCCCTGCCCTCAGGGAGTTTGGCAAGCATCAGGCCATCAGGACTTTCCTCCTCACCAAATTACCCTGTGGGAGTCACAGGCTACCTGCAAGCCTTTCACATGCACCTTCCAGGGACAGCCTGATTTCTCCAGGGGTGTGCACACCACAGGCGACATTTCAGACACCAGATAGCGGAATGCGGATGCTCTTGGGGAGGTGTGTGACATCTTTATCACAGGTGCTCGATCCAGATCTCAGCACAGCTACTGTGGGTGTGCATTCACAGCTTGGGGACTGTGGTGGCATGTTTGCAAGTTCCCAAAGTCCCATTCCTTCTAAGCACTGATGTGAGTGCCATTTACATGCCTGGTGCTGTGTTTGTATTGTGGTACCATTCTCTCGAGTCTTCTGTGCATCTCAAGGAGGCATTTCCTTCCCTGGGGCACAGGGCAGGGCTGATCAGACTTCCACTGGCCCGTGCCTCATTAGGCCAATGTCACCACTGCCTCACGTCATCCTCCAGTGTCCCTGATGAGGAACAGAGATGTGCCAAAGAGACTGCAGAGGGCTCTGTGGTCACTTGGCCCCACTGATTCCCACCTAGGACCTCATTGTACACTCTAACAGACTCTGCCTATGCATGCTAAGAGCAGACATCAAATTTCTTTATAAACACAGCTCCCTGCTTTTGAAAGATCTTCTTTATGTCAGCTACTATCAGCTTTTCCTTGATTAGAGACTATCAGTCTTCCCATTTGCTTCCATGGAGGCAGAACTCTCTCTTGGGACCTTTAGAGTCAAAAGAGGGCCTCTCTGAGCCCGGGAGCAGGGATGGAGAGAAGCCATTAAACCATCCAATTATTACTTGCAAATAAAAAAGAGTTTTTTAATATTTAAGGAGATGGATATGATAACTACTCTAACTTGGTCATTGTATACCATATACATATATTGAATGATCAAGCTGTACCCTGTAATGTACACAATTAAATAATAATAATGCATTTAAAAAATCCAAATGAAGACATGGGCAGGTGGAAGAGAGCAGTAACCAGAGTCACGTGGGGCTCCTGGTGGGGCTGTGCAAGTGGACACTGGGCCGTTAACTGAGAAAGGGCAGGAAATAAACAAGCTGGATATGTCCACATGCCTGCTTAGCTCCTGCACCAAGGAGACGTTGGGTCACAGCCCTCATCCCTCGTGTTTCCCTGAGAGGCACCCGGGCTGGGAGGGCCAGAGACTCCTTGGCTTTCCCTAAAGGTGAAGCCTCTCCTGCTCCTCTGACTACAGTTTGCCTCCTTACAGGCACCTATGTTGGATGCTTCAGTGGTGAAGGCCAGGAGAGAACTCTGAAGGGGGCAGTGTTCTATGACTTGAGGAAGATGACGGTTGCCCATTGCCAGGACGCATGTGCTGAGCGGTATGTGCTGGGCCCACTGCTGGCAACTCCACTGGAAATAAAGTCAGGACTCATTCCCCGAACCTGGTGATGCCATGGCTACAGTCAGCTGTGCTCGTGTCATGAGACCTCAGTTGATCTGCTCTCGGTTGTCCAGAGAAAGTCCATTGGCAGATGGATGGTATGGGTGCTGGGCCAGTGTCAAGAGACTTGGCTTCTAATCAAGTTGTGCCAAGGGCCTGCTGTTTGACTTTGGTGAATTCTTTTCCTTCCCTGAATCTCAAGTTGTTCTTTGTGTAAAATAAAATGAAGGTCTTTAACATAGATTTTTCTGAGGCCCTTTGCACCTCTGGCGGGAGCAATATTCCAGTCTTGCATTTTTAGTAAGATAATTTGCTTTTTCTGAGCCGGGCATGGTGGTGCACGCCTGTAATCCCAGCAGTCAGGAGGCTGAGGCAGGATGATCGCTGTGAGTTCAAGACCAGCCTTGACTACATAGTGAGTTCCAGGTCAGTCTGAACTACATAGTTAGACCCTATCTCAAAAACAAACAAAAACAGCAAAAAAAAAAGATTTACTTTTTCTGATACTGCCAGCTCACCTAGTAGTTATCAGACGTGTGTTAGGTGCCAGAGGATGGGCCTTACCATCGAGGCAGTCACAATTCAGCATGTACACACACACACACACACACACACCCACACACACACACACACACCCACACACACACACACACACCCACACACACACACACACACCCACACACACACACACACACCCACACACACACACACACACCCACACACACACACACACACCCACACACACACACACACACACACGTGTGTGCCAGAGTCAGGCAGAACAGTGCAACCAGGCTACTCTTCCTCTGTTTTATCACCTTAGATTCCTTAACACTTTTTAGATCAGGTAAAGCCCCACAACCCATCATTAGCAATTAATTATCCCCATTTTACAGATGGCAAACGGAAGCTAGAGAAATGACAAGGACCCTACTTAGACATGCCTTGTAGCCTAGATAAAGCTGGAACAGAGGACCCCACAGTCTCAGTTTAGTCTCCTAAGAGTTTGGGAAACTGACACTTGGATGTAGGAAGCGACATCAGGATCTCACAGCTTTCAAGTGGCCAAACAGGCACTAGCTGCTTCTGTGTGGGTTCTCAGTCTGGGATTTTTACTCTAGGATCCACTGAGAAGGGAGTTTATAAAGGTTGCCTGCTTTCTGTCAGTGCAGTCCTGGGCTCTATGTAGCAGGTACCATCTCAAGTCTTTTTATCTGCAACTGCAATTTCATTGGGAGAAGTAGGTGAGGAAGTGGCTGAGGAGGAGGGACACCCAGCAGGTCATGTGTGTAATAGGATGTGCTATGTGGCTGGTGTGTCAGACCAGTGGTGCTGGGCCTGGGGCAAACTTCAGTTTTGAGAGCTGCTGTGAACGGGTGACCGTGGTGAGAGTATTTCCATCTCAGCAATTGGCTAGCGCTGCCTCTCAGGGCCCTCCCAGCCCCTAACTGAACCAGTTGCCCAGTACAGCAACTGATTTCATCCCATCAGATCCTGTAACATGGATGGCACTACAGCTCAGAGCTCACAAGACAGACTGGTGTGACCAAAAGGTGTGTTACAAAGGAAATGCTGGCTCCTGAACTCAAATGGCCTCTAAGTCTAGATGAAGACTGATTCAGGAGGCCAGCCTTGTGCTGATGGCTATGGCCCTTGCTGTTCACCCAGACTTACCCTCACCTTCAAGTCTACCCCTTATCTCCTCCCTAGACCCAGCTGCATTGCCTGACCTGTACGTTTCCGTAGTTACGACCCTAGCCCTTGCTCAGGGCCCAGGTCCAGACTCACCCAGCTTGGTCTCCCACAGGTCCTACATGTATGCCGGCTTGGAGGCTGGGGCAGAGTGCTACTGCGGGAACCGGCTGCCAGCGGCGCGCGTCGGGCTGAATGAGTGCAACCTTGAGTGTAAGGGCGAGAAGGGCGCTGTGTGTGGGGCCATGGGCAGGCTCTCCGTGTATCGAGTGGACGTGCTGCAGACAGGCGCCAGCAAGCGTGAGTAGCCAACTTCTCCGGGGCTTTGCATGTCCCACATGCGCCTCGAGTCCATGCTACATGGGGCAGAACCCATGCAGTAGGCCCTCCCTTGCCTGTACTTTCACTGGACTGGCTCTTGGCAGGGTGCGGCAGGCTTAGGGTCCAACAAAAAACTTAACTGTTTGAGTTTATGACAAAGGCACATCTTTGCTTGTTCTTTGCAGGAGAAATTTGGTAGGAGACCTAGGTGTGCCTCGGACATGCAGCATAGCCTCAGACAGCTCGTTTCCCCTCTGGGGTTTAGTTTATTTTGTAAAGTGTCACTGGGAAGAACTTAGATTTTCAGCAATCAGTGGACCTGTGAATCTGAAAATTCCCTAACTATGAAACACCTAAAGGAATTGGTTAAGATTTAACCAGTATCATTGTTTTAGTTTTTTTAAATACTTCCTTGAATTTACAAATAAAAATTGTACAGATACATCTTGACATATGATAGGCTTAGGTACTGATAAATACATCGTATAGTGAAAATATTTTAAGTCATTACAACCTACCTATCAGTTTTTATTATTGGGCAGTCCCGGGAGTGAACCCCAAGCCTTTGCAAGGATCTATATCGTCACCATTTAAAAAAAAAATTATTTTTATTAGTATATTTGTATGTATACTACATTAGTACATTAGTGTATTTGTAGCATGTAGTACATTATTAGTATGTAAAGTACATAATGATTACATTCATTGTGGGGAATTGGCATGTGTACATAACACCTCTTTACATCCTCTTCCTCTCCCCTCCCTCACTTAACTACAGGAGAGTAAGGAAATTCCTGGGTCGGGGAATAAAAAGGGATGAACCACAGTGGTAAGAGGAAGAAACAACGCTGTATCCTGGGTTTCAGCAAAGTGAACTTGGCAGTTTAGGTGGCCCCAAGGCATAGTTTTTAGTGTCTAAGCAGGGCAGCAGTGAAGGGCTTGGGCCTGTCATCCAAGGGGAACTGGATTGAAACCTCTGCATAAGGCAAACTCAATTTTACCGCAGTTTAGATATAAAAAAAAATCATAATAATAATAAACCACATACCCTTTCAGGAGACAGAAAGGAAGTTTATGTTTTGACATGAGCTTCAGGTGAAAAAAATTCTTTTTGGTAAGAATTTGTAACGATAGTCCTGCGTTTGTATGAAATTTGTGGTTCAGCATAAAAGTTGGTTCTTGGGTGTCTGGAGATATCTGGCAGAGGCAAATGCAAAATCTCTCTTGAGAGCTATCTCTCCAGCCAGGGTGTTAAGGGTTCTAATAGGAAATTCTCACTGATGATGAGCTTACAGTTCACAATTCCGGAACATAAGAAATAACCAACCATGAGGAAAAAAAAATGTATAAATCAATTGGCAAAAATTTCACTTAAGGTGCTGCCAAGTAGAGAACTTTGAGGGGGCCCAAGTGGATGAATTTGAAACTCAGGGTTGTCCTTATTATAAGATGATAGAACCCAAATCCACTTAATCTAATTACAAAAGGCTCCCATATAAAATAATGGCTTGAGGGTCGGGAATTTAGCTCAGTGGTTCCGCCGCCTGCCTCCCAAGTGCAAGGACCCAAGTTTGATCCCCAGTACCAAAAAAAAAAAGAAAAGAATGGCTTGTACACATTCATCCACCCTGGAGTCCTGGAAGCCATCCTTCCCACAACGAGGATGAGCAAGGATGGGAAGAAGTGAGACTTCTCTCCTAGCATAGGTGGAGACTTCCCCTTCCACTGGCAAAGGTGGGACAACAGATGATGGTGGCATGGCCCAGCATCTGGGTACTTTGACTTATAGGCACAACTGCCTCTGTCTTTGGTTCTAATAGCAGGATTCTAGAGCAGAGCCCAGAGAATGAGGTGTCATATCAGAAGCTAAGCCTGAAGAGGTGTTTCTGGGAGGGCTGCTGTAGTAACGAGCAAGTTTTCCAAACAATTCTGAAACCCAGCGCTGTGCCAGACTTGGCCACTATATAGGGTCAGAGTGCAGACAGAGAAGTTTGTCCCTGACAGCTGAGGGTGCTCAGGTGCTTCTTGTGTTCAGGCAGGATGTGTGTAGGTCAAGAGGTCTACATGAGGCAATGAGCATGGTGTGGAGATATTGACAATGTACTCGAGCTGACGCCTTTGCTCATGAAGTCATTAACTCAACAGGTATTTTTCTTTTCACCAGTACCTGCTCTTCACCAAGCCCTGACCTGGCATAAGTTTTGTCCTGGATATTCACATGGGCATCCCGAGGACTATACTGCTCCATGATGGTTTTTTGGACCTTTCATCTCTTTGGATTCAAACATTAGCCTGTCCCCTCACTTCTGGCCCCTGTGCAGAACTAGGCCTGTGTATAAATTCTGGGCTACCCACCAGCCTTCCTGGCTCTTAGTCACTGACTCTTAGAGACAGCTGTTTTGCCTCTGTTGTCCATTAGCTAAGGGACAAATGGTTCAGTCATTTGGGCCGCAGACCTTCAGTCCACCAGATCTTCTGCTCATGGCTAATGTTGAAAATGTTGTTAGTGCTGTCCCTTAGGAAAGGCTGTAGAGCCTTGTGTGGCTGACCTTTGCCTTCCTGCTCCCTTCTGAAGGGGCTGAGCTGATGGGATCTCTGTTGAAGGTGACCAGGTGACCCCTCATTGTAAATTGCAGCTTCTTGCTAGCAAGGTGCATTCACAAGGAACATGACCGTAAGCATGCCCCAAGGTTGGAATTGGGTTACTCTAGGCAGTTCATTAAAGCCTTTCCCTTGGCAGTGTAGTTCTGCCCTGGGTGGTCCTCAGGCTCTTACCTGGGGAGTGAGGGAGAAGGCTGGAGAAAAGGCCAATGCAGGATAACCAGGTTCACCTTTCCCCCAGGAACAGCATTCAGAGCCCTTGTGGGCCCTTGCTGTCCCTCCCTGTGACCTGTACTTACCAGGATGCTGGTCAGTCTGCCCTCTCTGTGTCTGTCCTGTCCTACTGACTTTCCCCTGGCCATCAGCCCCTTGAGTCTGTCTCTCACTGTCCAATGCAGCGGCTGGCTGAAGACACCACCCATCTAGATGTTTGTTCTTTGGGTCCAGCTGTACCACAGGCCCACAAAGAGTCTTGTGAGCTGAGTGCTTGCCATCACCCTCATCCTGCACACCACAATCTGGGGTGGTCTGTCAGGAGATGGCCTGTGAGTGCCCAGTGCTACTCTTGTGAGTGCCCTTGGCTGTGTGGAGGTGAGAAAATGGAGTCTTGGGAGTCCATGACACACCTGAGTTGGAAAATACAGGCAGTGGCTGGGCCTGCATCTCAGAACACTAACCCACACTGTTTTCTCTGCACCAGGCAGCTTTCCTGTCTTCCCAACAATGTCTGTGACCTGTCTTTGAGACCGCTAGTCCTGTGGTTGATCTGGAGAGGCTTTCAGAGCCAGGGTTTGGTCCTGATTTGGCAATGTGGCACGGAAGGAGTCCTCTCCCTGATGCCATGGCTAAGGCTGGTGAGAGGGTTTTTGCTGCTGGCCAGGTAGAGTGGCGGGCAAAGAGAACTGGGGGACATGCCGAGCTCTGCAAGACTTTGTATGAAAAGGAGCGTGGGATAAGGATCAGTGCATCATCTAAAGAAACTCTGATGAGTCTAGAAGCTCTATGAAGAGTTGGCGCCAGAACATCCCAGAAAGTTTGTTCAGCATGAAGGAAGCCAACACGAGGGCTGGGCTTTTCCACCAGAAGGTCTGGAGAGCAACTTGGCAGGAAGCTTTCTTTGTGCCATAGGTTTGAGGAGTATTTGGGTGGGAATTCAAGAGCAGCAGTGTGAGGCCAGCCTTGCTAAGAAGCGATGCCAGTGACAAAGACAACGGGCAGGATTTCAGAGGTTCAAGTCTGGTTTTCTTTTAATGCATGTCATCAGAGTACATAGAGTTGTCACCCACTGTAGAATCTGGCACATAGAATATTTATAATGCAAATCTGTTGAAGAAAGGAAGGGAAGGAGAAAGGAAAGACAGGTGGACACCATCTCCAGAGAACTGGCAAAAGAAGAAAAACCTAACCTGAGCTAAGTCATTTCAACCAAGTGGTCCCTTGGCAGGGACCCAGGGTGAGCCAGGTCCCAATGCCAGTCTGTCAGGAACCTGGACTACCTATACCTCCACTGGCATAGCTTTTTCTCTCTGATTTAAGAGCTACTCTCTTGAGTATATTTACACCTACCCTGAGATCCAAAGCCAGTATTTTTCCTTATGACAGGTACCAACAACCATGAATACCCTGTCTCACCAAAAACCCATTTCCTTCCCCACAGGGCGGACCGCCACCTACCGTGGTTGTTTCCAGCTGCCGGAGAATGTCACACACACCTTCCCCACCTCTCTGATACAGGCCAATGTGACTGTGGAGATGTGCTCAGGATTTTGTTCCCAGAAAGTAAGACCCATTCTAATTTCTCAACCTTTTAAAGGTCTAGTATGTGAGGTGACTTCCAGAGAAGGGGAGGTACCCATCCTGGACTGTGTATGTCCACTCTGGCAGCCTCGGTGGGAACAGAGGGGCAAGCTGTGTGAGAGAAGCAGGCCATGCACCTAACATCACAGATGCTGGAGTCTAGCTTGTAGCTACTGTCAGGGATTAGAGGCTACATAGGGAATTGTCAGTGAAGGTTGTAAAGCTGAAGGGAATGTGCCTTTCTAGGTGTGAGCTGTTGGCCCAAGTGTCAGATGTTAAATTGACTTGGTTTGGATGCATAAAGATTCTGGTTTGGGACTTGGGGACAGCTGATGGATTTTCTGTTGTTTGTGCAGAGAGAGCACTGGGCTGTGAATCTGACTGCACGGGCCATGGACATATCTACTCCTTTGGTTCAGCACAGGCTGAGCAATAGAGTAACTCTGCAAGGGCTAGGATTGGCACCAGAGGCCACTGTCTCTCTGTGTATCCATTCTCACCTCGAGTTGGTCAAGGAGAAGGCAGGGCTAGAAGATTATGAATCAAGGCTGGTGAGACCCAGCAGGCCCTGTCCAGAGAGCTCTGAGTTCTTGAGCTGGGGTCCAGCTATCTCCAGCCAGTAGAGGTTGAGGCTTTACAAATGGTCCTAGGTAGTATTGGACTGGGTGCCAAGACTGCTGAGTGTGGTACATGGCAGCCTAACAGACCAGATCCAAGGAAAGTAGAGGGCCTTGCTGGTTTCGATGGTGATGACGATGATGACAATGACAATAATGAAGACAGTGACGGTGATAATCAGAGAAGTTAACGTTTTCTGATGGTTTATTCCATGCCAGGTTCTATTCCAAGAACTTGCATGTGTTGACTCATTTATTCTTCCTAGTAACGCTCTAAGATAGGTACTGTGATAATCTGTTTTGCAGTTGAGGAAAGTGAGGGAGGAAGCTTCAGCAATCTGGCTGAGGTCACAGAGTGGTAGAGCTAGAACTGGACCTCAGATAGCTGTACAACCTGTTGGTAGCTTGAAGGGTGTGCATCCATGAGGCAGATGTGACCCAAACAAGTGTATCTCCTGTGCACTCCCAACCAGCCTGGAGGCTGCCTTCTTCCTGCCTTCTGGTCCCTCAGCTCTCCCAGGATGTCTCCCACCTCCCAGGAAGTTTCCTCCAAGGCTGGAGGAGAACAAAGCCTTTCACAGGTGCATTCCTCCTGCCAGAGTACAGCCTCGCAGTGGCTCTACAGTATCACCAACATTTCCAGAGCCACTCCTGAGGACTCCCTGGGGTGTCAGGGTTCACAAGACACAGTGTGGCCAGCCCAGAAGGCAGTTTGTTGATTTGTAGATGTCTGGCCTCGAAATTTCTTTGCCTTTTATGCTCATGGGAACAGAGATCTGGGAGAAGGCAGTGGGGATACCTGCTCAGCTGCTTGCCCCTGCGTTACGTCCTCAAGGGAACAAGCTACCCCTCAGGCACTGGTCCCTCCTGCAGTTCTCAACAGCTCTCCAGAGAGACCTCCGCACTGGAACCAGATGAGCTCTGCCAGCCCAGATCAGGCTGCAGCAGGCTTCCCTGGGTCAGCAACCTTGAAGAATCCCACCATGGCTTTCCCATGGGGCATCTGCTTTAGTCGTCCCAGCTTCGCACTAGGAGAGCTGCTAAGATTCCTGTTTGCTACAGGAGGCGGTACAGGCTTGCAGAAGTGAGAGTGTTTACCATCAGGCTCTAAATGACCAGCATCACAGTCCTGGCTCCTGACACCACTACCCCTTCCAGCAGTGTGAGGGAATCAGCCACGTCACAGCTTCTCTGTGCGATGGGAGCAAGTGACAGAGATGAGAAGAAACAGGAGGAAAGGGAGTGCGTAGCAATGGTGGCCACGTGCCCCAAGCACTTCGGATGAGTTCTGAGCAGGCAGCGTGTTCACGTGAAACACAGTAGCAAGATGCCCTAGTCTCTCCTACCCAGCCCCATCCTTGGAGGCAGGGCAGTGTCTTGGCTTCTGGATATTCAAGCGATTGCCTCCAGTGTCCCTTTACAAACCCCACAGATGGCAACAAGCTACTCACTGCTCTGTGCTGAACCCATTCCACCTTCGATTATTCCATATCAGTGCAGAAAGTGATTTCTTTTTCTTTTTTCCCATTACACAGATGTCCTATAATTTATTGAACCAATACCCCCCCCCCGTTAAGCATTTAGGTTGTACCCGGTCTTTTGTCTTTACAAACAATGCTGCAGTGACTATCATTGGGTCATTTTGTGTGAGCAAATGTATTTAAAAAACAACTCTTAGAGGAGATGCTGAGTTAAAGAGTATGTGTCGTTGTCATTTCCGTCACCTTTGCCAGTTTGCCCTTGACAAAGGTTGTACTAATTTTTTTTAAGTAGGAAAAATTTATTGAGGGAAAGAAAACTTCTGTCTAGGGGAGATAGAAGGGGGACCGGAAAGTGGGTCGCATTTCAAAGACGTTTTATACAGCAAAGCCATGTGGTGAGGTGGGATTTACAAACAGCTGCAGTGACTATCATTGGGTCATTTTGTGTGAGCAAATGTATTTAAAAAACAACTCTTAGAGGAGATGCTGAGTTAAAGAGTATGTGTCGTTGTCATTTCCGTCACCTTTGCCAGTTTGCCCTTGACAAAGGTTGTACTAATTTTTTTTAAGTAGGAAAAATTTATTGAGGGAAAGAAAACTTCTGTCTAGGGGAGATAGAAGGGGGACCGGAAAGTGGGTCGCATTTCAAAGACGTTTTATACAGCAAAGCCATGTGGTGAGGTGGGTACAAAGTGGCAAAAAACTGTAAGACCCAGTGGAAAATTACAAGGTGGGCAAGAGGTGGGGCAAAACCACATGTACTAATTTTACACCCCTTGCAGCAGTGTGTGAGGGAGAATCTCCCACCCTTATAATCCCTCTTTGGGGGAAGGCAGTTCGAAGCAACTTCCTGGGCAGATGCCTCAGTGTTCTGGGGGTGCCCCCCTTTAGGCAGCCCTTTAGAACCCTGAGAGTTCTGCCTTGGGGTTACAGACAAGAATTTAAAGACTTCAAACTCTCCACTTTCTATTTTCAGCCTTTCTTCATATTTACTGGCACAAATCCATATTGCTGCAATTTCACAGCGGAGTTATGTGCCAGAAGACACCCGCAGGCTCTTGGTATCTTAAGCCATTTTGCACCTTAGCACCTTGTCCAACTCCCTTCATGATACATTTCAAGGACAAGTTACCTGCTTAGCCCTTGTGTCCACAGCTGGAAATTGTTTGGGTCAGACGCACGTGGAAAGGGCACTAGGGTTCTCAGAAATGCCTGTGTCCCAAAGCACAGAGCATTGGTATCCGCACTCACAGCCAGTACCTTATCCTGACCAGTCCTGCATTGCCCAGTGGGGCTGTGTGTGTGTGTGTGTGTGTGTGTGTGTGTGTGTGTGTGTGTATGTACTTCCTCCGGTGCTATTGTTTCTGGCTGCAGGATTTTGCAGCTGTAAGGAACAGTCACCACTTCCAGCTTTGAAGTTGAAAGTGGGTCTCAGCAAAGCATATTTACAAGAGTTTGGCAAAACACATCTGCTGATATTAGATCCCAGTGTTGGATGCAGCTCAGCCCTACTCAGAATGTAGAGTTTATGGCTAGGAAGGGACTGAGACTGGATCTCAGGTGACTCATACATGACAGAGTAAGGCTGGTGCCTGAACAGGGTGAAGAAAACTTGGAAGGAGATGTAGAAGGCAAAGGAATTACAACTATTAGGAGCATTTGGGGCACGTCAGCAGGTGGATGGGAAAGTAGGGAGTGCACTTAAAGAGAAATAAGTACAAGGCGGGACGAAGGTGGTAGGAAAGCAGCCCAGGGTGGTCTGAGTGGAGGGCTGCACTTGCAGTGGGGACACATTGCAGAAGGCCTTGCATACCTACCTTAAAGCTCAGAATTTTTCAGTGGGATGCAGGGAGTTATAGATGGACCCATAGGGAGAAAGTGGTATGTCTAACAGGATGCTTTACAGCTGTAGGAGGGATGTTCTCTTTGCAAGAAGAATAGTGGAGCTGGTAAAGTACAAAGGAAATCTAAGAGATGCTACAGAAGCACAGTACCATGGAGAGAATGTGAGAGAGAGGAATTCTCTCTGTGGGCCCCTCAGAGATTGCCTTCCTCAGAGTCACCCTCAGGGATGTCTTGTCTACCTCAGAAGTCAGCCTATGGCCTAGCTCTGCAGTTAGGGGCCCAGGGAGCAGAAGAATAGTACCTGGATGTCACACATCCAGGTGAAACCACTGTCTATCCAGCCCATTTCCCAGACTTGCTGTCTGCTCTCCCTTGCCTCAGTTTATGGGTTTTGATAACTTGGACTCAGGCCTTCGGGATGGTCAGCCCTTCTACCCTCTACTCTAGACACTTGGTGGACTCTTGCTGTCACCCTGAAGCCACATCTTTCCACTTTACAAGCTTTGAGGGTTGGAGAATTCTCTTTTAGGGCCTGTCTTTGCCTTGTAGGATATTTAGCAGTGCCCTTAGTCTCTAGTCACTACATGCCAATAACATTTGTGACAATTCAAACTCCAGACATTGATCAAGGTCTCCAAGAGGACTAACTCAACCGTGGTTGGGGCCTGCAGCGCTAGAAAACCTGCTTGGACATGTAGTCAGCCATGTATAGGCTGGCCCACATCTCCACCTGCTAACCCCTGCCTCCAAGCCTTGAAGTCTGAGCATTGGAAATTGATTAGAAGTTCACCTGATCTTGGCCTCAGCAGGTTATCACTCCCTTTTCTCTGCTGAATTCTGAGAGTGGTAGAAAAGATGCACTTGGGGACGTCTAGCTGTGCCTTTCTGTCTGCCCTGAAGTTCAAGTGCTTTCTCACTGGAACGGCTGGTGGTCTCTCTCCACCATCCCGGAGGCAGCTTTATCTGGTTCTCATTTGGCTAAGAAGCAGCTCAGATGCCCTATGAGGGGGGAATGGCTCACCTATGCCAGGGCCATAGA